TTCCTTTTGGTAACGAATTTTACATACTAGGCATACTCTTATAATTACTAAAAATGATTCTTATTATGTAACTAAAATCAAACAACCAAATCACATAAGATGCTTTCATTTTTTAGTTTAAAAATTCCAAATACAGAGATATGATTTAAATAATACAACAGACTTTGGCATATTATGTCAATTTTAGTTCCCGGTACGGACAATGAGGGCGCTTCAAATCGGCATAAACATTTTTATGGCATAGTCAGTCCACCGTAATTGTATATATAGAGGTCAGTGCTAATCGGTTATTTCTATTAGTCAGTCTGCGACCATAGTCTACTATCCATATATGATTGCATTTTTCAAGCATAGTTTTTTCTTTAAATATTGCTTAAGATGGCATCAAACGCGATTAGTGTGAAAAGGATATTATTAGAAGGAATTACATAACTTGTAAGACTTGAATAATTAATTAATAACCTGGTAAGACATGCAGGAACTCGATGGATGCAGGTGGCTCAGGACCGTGCTTTGTGGCATTCAGTGGGGGAGGCCTATATTCAGCAGTGGACTTGTGAAGGGTTGTTATGATGATAATGATGATGACATAACTTGTGCCAACTGCCAGAACTTATATAACTCATATTGTAAGATTATAGGAGCGAAAAGGTTCTACTTAATGTCGCATCTACATTCTACTTAATGTACTTAAAGCCGCATCAGAAAATTAATCTGGATTATTAAAATATTACAACATTCTGCGCAAGACGATTATTAAAACGCATATATGTTGCCTTGGCGCAGTCTATCATGACTTACTGCATTGCTGTATGGGGTGGTGCATCAAAAAAAAAAATTTTAGCAGCTGAACGTGCGCAGAGCGCACTTTTGAAGGTCATGTTCTTTAAAAAACCCATGCACTCTATGCCGTAGCAGATTTGTTGTCATTACGTAAATTATATATCCTGAATACTGTCGTTAAAAACACAAATCTCTCCCACTTAAATGCAGACATGTAAAACATTTTTTTCTAGAAAACAACACGCAAACCTGTCATGTCAACTATATAATAAGGTCAACAAAGCACTTAACCTACTATACCAAAACAACTTTTTTTTTTATATTTATTTACCATATTACAAAGTATTAAAAAAAACTATAATAAAAAGTCGCATACAGAAAACCACTAAGGTTTGTGATGACGCGACCTGAGTCGACGTTACATTAAGTATAATTAATTTAGATTGTAAAAAGAAAATATTACAGCCTAATTAGGACCTGAGCAAGCGCATATACGCTGTTTTAAGTAGTAATTTTTTTTATAAATTATCCATAAAGTACATTTTAAGGTTTTTTTTAAATGTTTTTTATATTTAAGTTATCGCGGAAATCTGGGGGTAGGTTGTTTATAAGTCGTGGAACAATGTAACTTGCCGTTCGTTCCCCGTACATGTTGTTTGCATGACTCGTCTGCAGCTTGCGGTTGCTTATGGCGCGCGTACACACGGGGTGCTTAATTTCTAATTTTAACTATTCATTAAAAAAGTGTTTTTTTAAAGGTAAATATTTGACTTGTGTATGAACTGGTAGTATATTGCAGTGCTTAAAGAGCATACTATCGTCATCATGAAACTGACGTCGAATTTTGTCTGTTACAATGTTTTTAAGGATTCTTATCTGGAGGTTATATATTTTGTTTAAATAAGTATTAAATGTACGATCATAGCTACCTAAACCATACTGTATATAAGATTCTGCCAGAGAATTATATAACATCATCTTAACTGGGAACGGAATTCTGTTCTTCAGTATTATAATATTAGCTAAGAATTATCTTAACTTGTTACAAACATACTCGATGTGGTTATGCCAAGTAAACTTACTATCGATCTGCATTACGAGATATGTCTGGGTATTGACGAGATCTATAGAGGGGCAACTGCAAGTGTTTTTACAAGACGAGTGAAGGCAATTATGATTGTGAGCAACAATGTGCTTGGATAAAGGACACTTGATATAACGAGACTTTATGTGTAACAGCTTGGTTTTAGAGGAGTTCAAAACCAATCCGGCTTCATGACACCATTTTGCAAGCATATTAAAGTCAGACTGTAACAGGTGACATGCTATACCAGGGTCTTTATTGGCGACTAGCAAACATGTGTCATCAGCAAACTGGTAGCGTGAACAGTGATTTATGTAAAAATGCATGTCGTTTACATATGACAGAAAATGGAGGGGGCCAAGCACAGATCCCTGTGCTGTGCCTTCAGTTACAGTCACTGCGTCGCGTCACGGCGTCACGAATATCTGAGCGAAATTCAAAAGCGTAACAAATGGTAGGCAGATCAAGCTGTAATTCAGGAAGAAGACATGGTTGTCAACAAGGACTTCAATCCGCCTCCACTTAAATGCATGATGCATCGTATGGGGCGAATTTCTCACCTTGATCCCGAACAAGACGGCATTTCCAGAGTTAGCGTTCAGCACGACAAGCTAAATTCTTTCGTACGATATTAACATGCCACACAAGCAAATTAAATATTGCAAAAGCGCTTCAAAATGCAATCACTTTACAAATTGACGTGAATTACTTGCAAACAAAGGTAAGTTAAACATTCAACTCAACAAAAGGGCCTCGTTATCGCGTAAACGCACTAAAATGGTAACTCAAAAGAAGCGATCTTAAAGCGACCTCACGAGTCTAGCGAAAAAACTGCAATAGTAAATTCCACACGCTTCAAAGACCGGACGTTGATCGCAATCAATATTAACTTCCAAACCGACCCGGCGTCCGCGCAGACAGTATATATATTTATATTTATATAGTATTTGTATTTATATAGTTTGAATGTGCTGGAGAAACAGCAGATAGTGCTCGACACTCAATTTATAGTGACAATCGTCGAGAGTAAGCAGTGACTTAGGGGCAGTTGGTTAACAGCAAATCCTAACCTTAAAAGTAACATTAATATGTTTTGGACTTCGCAGCGTTTAAATCGTAAAAATGACTATATGACTTTATTTCCTAAACTTACAGGAAGTTTTTCTACTATACCTCATAACTATACATAAACTTTCACTATCAGGTTTTTAAATGTATGAAAAGTGGACATGGTTCTTTATAAATTTGAGTAGAGTCATTCTGAATCATCAGTGGCTATTTAGATTGGCCGCCCTATTGGTCTTGGCTACAGCAATATTACTCATTTATATTATTTATTAAATAATCAAAACCTATTGGCAAGTGCTTGCTGTGGCCCATAGACATCTACATCTGTTTTCGTTTGCGAATGAAAATGCAGATGCGTTGTCAGCCGTGAGGACTAAGATCGAATGCCTCTTTTCCAGTAAAACTCTTAAGGTTCTCTACACTCACCATGCGAAACACAGCAGCATTAAGCTGCTATTTTACGCTGGTATTCTGTGACAGCGTGGTGCTTCCCCGGTCGAGCTGATCCATTCGTGCTACAACTATACTATTAATATAGCTGCAGCATGGCTCTACCACGTAGGAAAAGTCTTAATTTTTATGTGTTTATTATTTAATTGTTTAAAGTATTTTATTTAATACTCGTGTTGATAATTTTATTTCATCTCTGTCCATCTGTAATACAGTCAAATGTGGCAATATAGTGATATTAACTTTGCCAGTTTCTATCTTTTGAGTACACAGTTGCGCGCGAGACGCTGTGGCGAGCGCAGGTAGTTATTGACTAGCTACGCGGTACTGTGCGAGCGTATCTTAACCTACCCACTTATAAGTAATAATGTACCTACGAGAACGAATTGTATAATGATAATTCTGATAAGAGTGAGTCGGCGATAATAGAGGAGAGTGAACGGGATTTGCAAGAAGTGTCAAGCGTGCAAACACGGCATATTCAGGACTAAAAAAAAATAGAGAAAAGACCGCGAGAAAGTGAATGCAGTAGTGAAGAAGAGTTTGAAACTGTAACAAGAAAGAAGCCGAAAAGGTTTATCAGAAGGAAATCTGCAGATAATAATGAAAATATAATAAATAAAGAAGAAAACATTCACGAAGTATTTGAAGTGAGTTTATTTAGTTTGCAAATGCTCACTAAACAAATGGCCCTAGCTAGATTTTAAAAGGATGAAAAGATATCGAACGTAATTGAAATTAAATGCAAAAGGCATTTTAAAGTTCTAATCTATAATTTTTGTATTCGTGATATTATCTTCATTAAACCAAACCTACTCATAACGTCTTCCAATTTTATAATAATCGATCAGGTGTCTGTTAAGTGCATAGAATAACATTCAATCCACTTGGTATGAGCGTCAACGAGGATGAGGTAATGTTTACCCTCTAGTGAAAACATATCAAGATGCACACGTTCCCAAGGATGCTCCGGGTAGGGTCACGGAGAGAGCGGAGAGCGTGGTGGGGCGGATCGCATTATACTGCATATGCTACACGAACCTATTTTTTGTTCAATATGTTTGTCGATATTTGGCCACCACATACGCGATCTATCTTCCGCTTTAGTTTTCACAATTCCAAAATGGGAACTATGAAGTTCATTTAAAAGTTACTCCCTAAATATTGTAGGTATCACTAATTTATGCCCCCTAAGAAGACAACCGTTTTCTACGCTAAGTTCAAACCTACAATTATAATAAGGTTTAAAATTATCATTTAGTAATTTTCCTGGCCATCCTTTGCTTACGTATTGCGCTACTCGCTTTAGAATCGCATCTTCCGCTGTCGCTAACTTAACGTAACCGGTTTCAAAATATTATTCGTTAAAAAATTATGTACAAACATGTATTTACCTCTGGGCTAAGGTCTTCGTTGCAATGGCGCATACCGTGTATTGATCGGGATAGAAAGTCTGCAATGTTATCATCGCTCTTACTATACTTAATATTGAAATTATAACGCGACAAAAATAGAGCATATCTTTGTAACCGATTTGCTGCCAATTCTGGGGTTCCTTTTTTATCACCAAATATTGTTAAGAGCGGTTTATGATCTGTACGCAAAATGAACGGTGTCATTCTACCATAAAAAATAGTGAAAATTTTTTCACCGCGAAAACAAGGGCCGCAGCTTCTTTTTGAATCTGTGCGTAATTACACTCTGCTTTCGAAAGTGAACGTGATGCATAGGCAATGACGCGTTCCTCGCCATTCCCTTGTACTTGCGACAGCACAGCGCCTAAGCCCTCAGGACCCGCGTCTGCTGTAACCATCGTCGTCAGCTCGGGGTTATAGTAAGCTAACACCCGTTCAGAAGCCATTTCTTGTTTAATAGCATTAAAAGAGTTTTCGTGCTCCTCTCCCCAAGGCCACCTTGCGTCCTTTTTTTAAAAGACAATTCAAAGGGCTAAGAACACCGGAAGTATTAGGAACGAAACACCTATAATATAAAAGCTTTTAGAAAATTTACTTCGCAAATATCCGCATTATAAAATAAAATGATGTGTCTTACCTAGTATGAAGAGCACCTCCCGCCCTCCCTCAATTGCGTGCACTATCCCCGTCACCACTAATCCCAGCACCGCTACTCCAAACACCACAACACTAGGCAAGACACACCACTGACGATAATACGACACGTGTTTCGCCTCTACACGAGGCATCCTCAGGTGATATAGACTCTACGGTGACTAACCGCTAAGTGAGCGGCGAGCCAAAACAAATGCCTTTTATACAGACCGATGACGCAACCGCTCTCTACTTAAGGAGCGAGCGACTGTTTCATGCGATAAAACATGCGACCAATCACCGCCGGACTTATGCTGCCGTTTGTAAAATTAAAAACAAACCGCCGCGCAAGGCCCACCCTCCAACCACGCAACCAATTGCCGATCACAGTGAGGGAGACAAACGACCATATTGCGAGGCTCTCTATTATTAGAGAGCAGGCTTAAAGATTTTTAAGAGAGGTGAGTTAGTAACATTTGTTTGTTCATTCAACAATGCAACGGTACTATTATTACTTTTTAATATCTCTGACTGTTCCAGCACACACAGCCGCAGCCCTTTATTACACGTATGTAAGACTTTAAAGGAATGGTCGTTGGCTAGGTTGTGTCCAGTGTCCAAAAGATGTTTGGCAAAATGGGATTTATCGGGATTGCAATTCCTGTACGCGGCTAAATGCTCTTTATAACGTGTCTCGAAATTGCGACCAGTCTGACCCACGTAAACGGCGTGGCATTCGTCACAAACAAGTTTGTAAACACCTAACTTTTGACGAACATCTAACTTATCTTTATTATTACAGATATTTCTAAGAGAATTGTTTGTTTTAAACGCAACATAAACGCCGTTTTGTCAAAGAGTATTAGCTACTTTTTCAGATATGGGGCCTAAGTAGGTCAAACTGCTCACATATCGATGAACACTTTGAGGTTGAACCGCGTACAGAGGGTTGCGAATAACATACTTTTGTTTTTTTTAAATTAAATTGTTAATGAGACTTTTTAAAAAACCGTTAGAGACCGCTATTTGATAAATTATATTAAGTTCTTTTAAATAATTTTCTTTACTTAATGGGACAGTGAACAAACGGTTAATGTAACAATAAAAAGCGGCGACTTTATGTTATCACGGATGATAAATTTGGAAAACATGTGACGATTCTTTTCTTGTTATTGTTAAGTCTAAAAATTAAGGGAACAATCTTGTTCAAATTCAAGTTTAAATTTAATTTTGTCATGGACTCTATTTATTTTATTGAAGAGAATTGGAAATTTGGAGTAGCGGTGCTGGGATTAGTGGTGACGGGGATAGTGCACGCAATTGAGGGAGGGCGGGAGGTGCTCTTCATACTAGGTAAGACACATAATTTTATTTTATAACGCGGATATTTGCGAAGTAGATTTTCTAAAAGCTTTTATATAATGGATTTCCGCAAAGTAACGCCTGATTCTATTAATTATATTAAAAAGGCTAGCACGGCCGACCAGGCAAGACTCTATGTCAAATTAACAAAACTCCATCGTATTGCTGCCCAAAATGTTTGGTTCAATCAGCAGTGCAAACAACTTCATGTTATTCCCAATCATATTCAAATACGTTCCGGCACAAATAATCGAGCGGCCAGTATTGCTATTTCTAAAGCTCAGAACATTTGGCTTAATGAGGAGTGTCGTCGTTGGTTTTCCAATAGAGATAATTTAAAAATCCACCTTAAAGTATTATACTCTGAACTTTCATATAAATTACATAATATTGAATTTGATATTTTAGATGGGAAAGCCAGAGAACTTGCTTCAATGTAATTTTCTCGATTTAACAATAACAAGAAAAGAATCTTCACATGTTTTCCAAATTTATCGAAAGCCAACTCACAACGACACGGTCATCCCCGCGTCATCGTGTCATCCGTGGCAACATAAAGTAGCCGCTTTTTATTGTTACATTAACCGTTTGTTCACTGTCCCATTAAGTAAAGAAAATTATTTAAAAGAACTTAATATAATTTATCAAATAGCGGTCTCTAACGGTTTTTCAAAAAATCTCATTAACAATTTAATTAAAAAGAAGCAAAAGCATGTTGTTCGCAACTCTCTGTACGCGGTTCAACATCAAAGTGTTCATCGATATGTGAGCAGTTTGACCTACTTAGGCCCCATATCTGAAAAAGTAGCTAATACTCTTTGACAAAACGGTGTTTATGTGGCGTTCAAAACAAACAATTCTCTTAGAAATATCTGTAATAATAAAGATAAGTTAGATATTCGTCAAAAGTCAGGTGTTTACAAACTTGTTTGTGACGAATGCCACGCCGTTTACGTGGGTCAGACTGGTCGCAATTTCGAGACACGTTATAAAGAGCATTTAGCCGCGTACAGGAATTGAAATCCCGATAAATCCCATTTTGCCAAACATCTTTTGGACACTGGACATAACCTAGCCAACAACCACTCCTTTAAAGTCTTACATACGTGTAATAAAGGGCTGCGGCTGTGTGTGCTGGAACAGTCAGAGATATTAAAAAGTAATAATAGTACCGTTGCATTGCTGAATGAACAAACAAATGTTACTAACTCACCTCTCTTAAATATCTTTAAGCCTGCTCTCTAATAATAGAGAGCCTCGCAATATGGTCGTTTGTCTCCCTCACTGTGATCGGCGATTGGTTGCGTGGTTGGAGGGTGGGCGTTGCGCGGCGGTTTGTTTTTAATTTTACAAACGGCAGCGTAAGTCCGGCGGTGATTGGTCGCATGTTTTATCGAATGAAACAGTCGCTCGCTCCTTAAGTAGAGAGCGGTTGCGTCATCGGTCTGTATAAAAGGCACTTGTTTTGGCTCGCCGCTCACTTAGCGGTTAGCCACCGTAGAGTCTATATCACCTGAGGATGCCTCGTGTAGAGGCGAAACACGTGTCGTATTATCGTCAGTGGTGTGTCTTGCCAAGTGTTGTGGTGTTTGGAGTAGCGGTGCTGGGATTAGTGGTGACGGGGATAGTGCACGCAATTGAGGGAGGGCGGGAGGTGCTCTTCATACTAGGTAAGACATATCATTTTATTTTATAATGCGGATATTTGCGAAGTAAATTTTCTAAAGCTTTTATATAATGGATTTCCGCAAAGTAACGCCTGATTCTATTAATTACACCTATAATAGTTTAGTAGGCCCAAAAATGATTTTAATTCACTTATATTTTTGGATCGTTTACAATTTAAAATAGCGTCAACTTTTTTTGTAACTTATGAAGTCCGTTTTTATCTATTACAAATCCTAAATATTCCACCGAATCCCTAAAAAACTCACACTTATCTTTCTTTAACCGCATACTAGCATCCTCTAATCTAGTTAAAATATTCTCTAAACGTTCCATGTGTATACTTCGATTTTCACCCGTCACTAAAATGTCATCAATGAATATGCAAACACCTTCAATATCACCCAGTAATTTTTCAAGAGTTTGCTGAAAAATAAAAGGAGCATTGGATAATCCAAAAACTAGCCGTTTATAACGGTATAAACCTTTGTGGGTATTAATGCAAGTCAGCTGTTTCGACTCATCCAGTTCCAACTGGTTGTAGGCCCTGGAGAGGTCAAGTTTGGTAAACTCCTCACCTCCATGGAGTTTGGCAAATATTTCTTCAATACGCGGTACTGGATAATTATCTACATACAGAGCTTTATTTAGGGTGACAGAATAATCCCCACAAATTCTAATATTTCCATCGGCCCGCAACACCGGAACTATTGATGTAGCGATGTCGGAATGATCAATTTTTTCTAAAATACCTAATTCGATCAACCGTTTTATTTCAATTTCTACCTTATTTTTTAGAGCAAACAGTACAGGGCGCGGCTTAAAAAAATTAAAGGTACATTTGGTTTGATTTTTAAGGTAACTTTAAATTTATTAAATCTCCCCAATTCGTCAGAAAATAATTTTTCATATTTTTTAAATGCTTAGAACCTAAATCGCTCTCATTTGCATTATAATCACATGACCCAGAAATCTTTAACTTAAATAAGCTCAAAAAATCACGTCCCAACAAAGTAGGTCGTTTATGTATTGTATCGATTACAAAAAATTTTATTCGCTGTGTACATTTTTCATATGTTAACGGTAATTCCACCGAACCCTTGGGTGCTATCTTACTCCCGTTATAACAATTTAAAACGATATTAGAAAAACGCATTCTAAACTTTGTTTTAATATACGCTTCATAGACATCATTTGGCATCACCGAAACGGCACTATCGCTATCTATTTCACATAAAATGCTTTCGTCCGCTATCGTTACCATCCGTTGCATAGGCTCACCATTTACTGACCTAATGTTATAAAATTTCTCACCTTCGACAATTTCGTCCCCTTCCTCCGTTACAAAATTATTGTTATTTATTTGTGTTTTACACATTCCTTTCAAATGTCCTATTTGATGACATTTTTGACATGTATAATGAATAAATCTACACTGATTTTTAACATGGTTCCTATAACCGCATACTTCACAAAACTTTTTTCGTTGTTGTTGTTGCTGTGATTACAACCGTCATGTACTCGCGCGCACGGCAAATATCATCCGCTGTGATGGTGATGAGTCACGCGTAGTCTCCAAAGTACTTTTCAAAGCTGATCGCGCGCAATGCACCCCCTGTGCTAACTCCAATGCTTTATTGAACGTCAAGGTGTTGATGCATTCTGAGAATAACTTTGCTTTATTTGATATGTTTTCTAGTCCTAATACAAATCGGTCACGCAATGCAATATTAAGCTCGCTCTTAATTCCACAGTATTGTGCAAGACTTCGTACTCTGGCCGCCTATTCAGCCAATCCCTCGCCTGGACGTTGCTCAGCCTTATAAAACTTAAAACATTTTGCGAATGTACACTTCCTTGGCATAAAATGCTTGTCTAAATAATGTATAAGCACTTTGTACTCTGTATCATCAAGTTCTTTCGGTGCCACTAAATCTCTGAGGATGCGGAACGTCTCTTCTGATAATGACGACAGTAAAATTGCTCGACGCTTAATACCAGCTTTGTCCGTTTGTTCCGTTATATTATTAGCGGTATAAAACTGGAATAATCGGCATTTAAAAATACTCCACTCGTGAATTCGGTGGTCAAAATTGAGACTGCCTCCGAACACTACATTAGCACTGCTAGCCATAATTTTTTTTCTTAATAACACTTTTTACACACGTAGATAACGAAACTCATCGCAAAAATGTTGTATTCGTGATATTTATTTATTTAGCTTTATTTTATCCCTTACATATTTTTTTAATGTTTATATAATGTTATATATTTATTTAATGTTATCTATTACTCGTTATTTTATTTGTTAGTGGTGTTAGTATGTCTTAATATGTAATTTTTGTTAATATTGTGTTAGTTGTAAGGGCCGCCTTTTGCGGTGAAAGCCTCCTCCAAATAACTCCAAGTGGTTCTGTCTTGTGCTAATCTTGGCCATAGGGTACCAGTTACTTCAACGATGTCATCACTCCACCTTTTTGATGGCCTACCTCGTTTTCTTTTCTTATATAATGGATACCAGTTCGTTACTGTTTGTGACCACCCACTGTCTGTTACTCTCTGTATATGGCCAGCCCATTTCCATTTTAGCGTCAGGATTTTTTCGACAACATCTCTTGCCTTTGTTCTTTTCCTGACCAAAGCGCTTTGGATTCGATCTTGAAGTCTTACATTCATGTAGCTTCTTTCTATCCCTCTTTGGCATGTTCTTACTTTACTTAGAAATTATTTTTTAGTGGCCAAGTCTGACATGCATACGTTAAGCAAGGAGTCAAACAAATGTTCATTGCCTTTGTTTTTAGTTTTGTTGGTAGAGATCCTTTTAATATTTCCTTCATAGACCAGTATTTGTTCCACGTACTTTTTGTTCTTCGGTCTATTTACCTTTCTGTGCAGGATTTGAATATTATAAGATGCCCGAGATAAATATATTCTTTAACGTAGTCAGTAGGCACTGCCTGTATTGATATAGGTTCTTTGTCTATGTTCATCATAATCTTCGTTTTGTCCCTGTTTATTTGTAGTCCGACTATTTCGCTATGGGAGCTGAGTGTTTCTAGCATGTATCCTAGTTGTTTTGGGTTTTCGGAGAGTAGAACGATGTCGTCTGCAAATCGGAGATGTAAAAGGTACACACCGTTTATATTGATGCCCATATCTTTCCAATTGAGATTTCTGAAGATGGATTCTAATACAGCGATGAATAATTTTGGTGAAAGTGGGTCTCCCTGTTTTACCCCTTGTTCTACACGGAACCACGGTCCTTTGTTATCCAAACGTACTCTAGTCATACTTTTAGCATATATGGTTATAATCAGATCGACATATCCTTTTTCGATTCCTTGCTCGTTTAATGCGTGCCAAATAGAGTTATGTGTTATGGAATCGAAGGCTTTTGAATAATCTATGAAAGCTATATATAGAGGTAAGTCATGCTCTGTATATTTTTCTATAATAAGTTTGAGTGTATGTATGTGATCTGTCGTAGAATACTTTTTCATAAAGCCAGCCTGCTCGATTGGTTGGTTTTCGTCGATTGTTTTTGTTATACGTCGTAATAGGGTTGATGCGAATACTTTGTATAGACAGGATATCCGGCTAATGGTTCTATAATTTGTTATTAGTTTAGTGTCCCCCTTTTTGTAAAGTGGAGCTATTTCTGAGCAAGTCCAAGATACTGGTAATTCATTTTTGTATTCACACCATCTGGTCCTGGACTCTATCCTGTTTTTAATTTCTTTATTGATAGTTCTATTTCACTTTCCATGAAAGGTGGTATCGGATCATTATTTTTTAATACGTTCGTATGAATTTCTTCTGTTTCGTTTGTATTTGTGTAGAGATTTTGTAGAATTTGGTTGCTATCTTAATTAAGCTCCATCTGTGTGTAACTATAGTTCCTGAAATATTTAGTAGTCGCGTCATAACCTATTTAGTGTTGTTTATTTTTTTACATGCTTTTTTAATACCTCCTGTTTCTATTAAGAATTTACTTTTTATGTTATTTCTACGATTCCTCATATTTTGTTTTATTTTCTTGTGTATTATTCTGTATAGCTTGCTTAACTTTCCTTTTCTTGTTTGATTTTATTTTTCTTATTTTTAAGTATATGGTTTTCTGACTTCCATTCTTTTATTTCTTGTGATATGATTACTTCATTTTTATTTTCTGTGCAATTTTTCGTAGAGCATTTTATTAGAGTTTTCTTTAGTTTGTTGTTTATTTTTTGTATGTCGTCATCGTAGTCAGACAATGAGGGTGATTCTTCGTCTGTATTGTTTAGCTCAGTGTTCGTTGTTGCCTTGCTGTAGTGGACTCGGGATTCTTTGTTATTTTGTACGCTCATAGTAATTCTTACCATTCTGTGGTCGCTGGGATGATGTAGTTTACTTATCACGGTAAAGTTTTCTAAGGTTTTTGATATATTTGTTGCTATGAAGTCTGTCTCATTTTGTGACTTTCCATCCGGAGTTTTCCAGGTCCACCTTAGTCCATTTGGCTTATTAAACGTAGTATTTGCTATTTTTAATCTATGTTGTAGACAAAAATGTATAAATATTTCCCCCCTTTTATTTCTTGTGCCATAGCCAAAATTTCCCATTACTAATTGTTCGTTTTGTTCTGGATATCCTATTTTTGCGTTCATATCTCCCATGAATTTTGTGTGCATTGACTCATTGCCCTATTTATATCAGCATACATGTTTTCTATGTCGACTGTTTTAGCTGCGACGGTCGATGCATATGCTTGAATCAGACTAAATGTCTTTCCATGTATTTTGATTTGTAGTAGAGCCACTCTTTCCAATATTACAATAAAATCTTGTACATCCACGTCATGCTGTTTTTTCACAAGAAATCCACCACCTTTCTCTCCTTTTGTTTTTCCGTAGTAGTAGAGTAAATAGTTCTTAGTAGTAGAGTAATCTTCTATTTTGTATCCTTCTCTTCTTACTTTTGTTAAGCCAACAATATCCCATTTAATTTTGGATATTGCCAACTCTAATTCCACTATTCTTGCGTCATTCGTGATATTATTTAGAATAAAACACAAGTAATTTGCTAACGTATATGCTTCGTTTAATGCTCGGACAACCGGCTGAATGTTTCACGTCTTACCCTCTATGTGAGAACATTACAATAATATAAAAATGAATCGCTGAATATGTTGCTAAGCGCAAATCTCGAGAGTAGCTGAACCGATTTCGCTAATTATTTTTTATAATATTCCTTGAAGTACGAAGATGGTTATTACGGAGAGAAATATTTAAAAAAAAATTGCCTAAAAAAGTCTAAAAACAACACTTTTATATATTCCCATACAAGATATTCGTAATAATACTTAAAAGTCAATTTGAACTTTAATACCATACCATAAAGTTTAAGTGTTAGTGGAGCGGTTCCCATTAGTATCGTATTTAGTATTATTCGACATTAGTATCGTAAATGTCAATAGTGTTTTATAATTTTTATTTTTTGACATAATGTAATTGTTGACTTATCAACTTTCTTTTTTATCTTAGTAGTTGACAGGGTGCCCGAATAGCAGAATAAGTATTAAAAAAAAATTAAAGAATCGACTTTAGGGCGGCACGAAGTTCGCCAGGTCAGCTTGTCTAATCTAATAAAACACAAGCTGAAAAGCTCATTAATTGTGAGAAGCTTTTTGAGAAAGATATAAGGGTTTTTGAGAAAGGTATAAGACCATGACTTGTGGCATTCCTTGGAGGAGGCCTATGTTCAGCAGTGGACTTGTGAAGGGTTGTAATGATAATGATGATGATGATGATGACAACTGACTGGCACTGCGGCCGCTACCGCAAGCCGCTTCTGTGTGGGAGGCGCTTAAAGCTCCGATGCCAATCGCAGAATGTCAAATGTCAAAAAAAAACCGTTTCACTCATGCGCAATCAATGACATACTGCATGATTAATTATTTTTATTTCATATTATTTTTAATTAATCTTTACTATATAAAGACCAATAAAGAAACTTGCCAGTAAAAAGGGTCTCCGGTTCTCTACACTCACTATACGAAACACAGCAGCGTCAAGCTGCTATTTTACGCTGGTTTTCTGTGAGAGCGTGGTCCTTCCCTGTTCGAGCCGATCCATTCGTGCTACAACCATAATATAGCTGCAGCATGGCCCTACCACGTATAAAAATAAAGCAATACTTATATGAAAAATAAAGCAGCCATTATTATGTACACCGTGTCCCCGTTTTATTATTTCCCCATCAAAACATTTTATAAAATATATACAATATAAATAGGTATATACTTAGTTAAGTATCTACCTATTTATATTAAAAATATGTTAAAAAAGAAATTCCGGGAAACTGTCTATGGCAGTAAATATTTTTCTCCAAAGATTATAACTCGAAAATACAACATTCCGATCTGATTCTTGGGGAGTTTTTTTTTAAGTTTATAGGTAGATTCGCCTGGGATTTTTTGCACTTAAATTAAAATCCAACAAAAAACAGGTCGGTTCAGCTTATTCCCAGGAACATGTTAAATGAATATTATTTAATTATTTTAGAACTATCATGGTAAAAATTCAGCTAATTTTTGAAGTCATTCAGTTTCGTGAACTAAACAATTTTTTTTAAATCTTTTTACCACTTCCTTAAAAATCATTTTTCGATAGTGCTTGTAAATAAAATGTACAATATTAATTAACGCACACAATAATAAATCAAAATTAGTCACGAGTTTTTGGGCTGTCAGGTCGTCTATATGCCAGTATATTCTAAGTCTATGGTTCTGAGTGAACGTAGTGATTATATACTCCTTGGTTCCGAGTGTTCCCTACTAAATATTATTATAATCATTGGTGGGCTCTATAAATTGATGTGGACCCGTAGATAGAGGATTGACTAGATAAAGCAATCGCGTATGCTTTTGAGATAGAAATAGGCGGGAGCTACTTTCCCTGGGTTACGAGATATTGTTCCTTTTCCCCCGTTATGGGTTTATTTATATTCACAGCACTACAAATTCACACAAAAAACTTATTTGTTACCATAAAAAATGTTCTTTTATAATTAAGATGATTAATTCATTTCTATTGAAAATACATTCTGTGACCAAAAACTACGGGCGGAAACGGCGTAAAAACAGAATCATCATTCCGTATTCAACGGCGCATCGACGATTTCACTGTACATTCAATAAACTCTTTGGATTTCGACAACACTAAGTGAAGACGCGACTAGAACAAAGTGTGATATCGCTAATCAGCAGCAATATGTTAAGTATGTACTTAATAATTAATTAAGAATAAAAATCAAAAATAACCTCGTGTCGAGATTTATGTTGTTTTTACAAAAAAAATTCAATAACTCAAACTTTTATTGCTAAACCATAATGTACACAAGATGTTATTAAATAATGTGAGACCAGTGTTATGCACCCTGCTGGGCATGCAATTTAGGGGCTAGGAGAGAGGAAGCGTATTTAACTACTTATAAGAATGTCATTGTAATTTATTAAGATAGAATTCAATTTAAATTAGTGATCATTTTGTAAAACCTATATAAGTATTATTTGTAAAATATTCATTAGTACTATAGTAACATTTATTAGTTAAGTACTGTTTTAATTTTTTTTGTAAATGTGATGTCATTTTTTTCATTTTTTAATATGTCAGGTAGTATAATTTTATGGAAAAACTTAATGTGCTAGAACTGTTTAGTTTTAATCGGGAAGTTGGCAATACTAATTTATTTTTGTGTCGTAACGTGTATTTGCATGGTAAATCTTCACGTTTTGTATTAAATTGCTTATTTTATCGAAAAAATTTACACATCTCCAATATATATAAGCTGGGTAAAGTTAATATTTTATATTTAAGAAAGAACGGTCTGCAACTATCAGTCTGATCTATATTTGCTATAATACGGATTAATTTCTTTTGAAGGGTGAATAGAGAGGCTGCATCCGTGCTGTTGCCCCACAAAATGATGCCGTAACTCAGCCAAGCGTGCGCATACGCACAGTAGGTTGTTGTTGCCGTTTCTATGTTGGTACTTTTTTTTAATTTCGCGTAATGCATATGAAAAGCTCGAAAGTTTAGACCTCACTCTTTGGAAATGCGCTTTCAAATTCAAGTGAGTGTCTATATATGTACCGAGTAATTTAAATTCTTTCACAGATTCTAAAATTGTACCATTGTAATCGAATTTTAAATTTAATGAGGTTTTTTGATGGGGATGAAAAGTAAATATTTTAGTTTTAGAAAAATTTTATTTTATATTATGATCATTCACCCAGTCTGAAGTTTTGGTAATAAGTAAATGAAGTTTTTCATAAATATCAGTATCGTTTTGGCATGAAGTTAATAGCGATATATCATCGGCATACTAGACAGACGTTTCTTCTATAGCTTTTGGAAGGTCATTGATGTAAATCAAAAATAAAAGACATTCAACGACACTTCCTTGAGGTATTGATGCATTTATTACCTTGCAATCGGAGCGCACGTATGAAATATTTTTGGTAGTGGTATCAAAGTGTTCGATCTCAACGAATTGCTGCCTATCCTTCAAGTATGAAGCAAACCGTTTATGAGCGGAGCCACGAATACCTAACTCGTATAGTTTATTTAATAGTATATTATGTTGCACCCTATCATATGCCTTCGTCATGTCTAAGAGGATACCTACATTGTATTGTTTACTATCTAAAATTTTTACAACTTCATTAATATATTTGTACACTGCTAAAACTGTGGATCGGTTTTTTCGAAAGCCGTTCTGGCAATCATCAAATATCTCGTATTTTTCATACAAAAAAATTTTTGATACAGACGGCAAAAGGGCAATAGGGCGATAATTACTTGGATCGGTTTTTTTATGAACAGGTTTTATAATTGTCTTCTTTAGTTGTATTGGAAAGGTATCTTCATTAAAGGACTGATTTATTAATATTGTCAACGGTACGGTTAATTCGTCTGCACATTCTTTGATTAAATGAGGTGAAAGTTCATCTATGCCGTGGCTTCTTTTATTCTTCAAGCTTTTAACAATTTTATACACCTCGGGACAGTCGACTGGGCTCAGATACATAGTGTTTTGTGTTGGCCGGAGAACAGGGCGGCCGCGAACGCCGCTGCCTGTTGCTGGATCAGGGTTGAACTCACCAATCGACGCGAAAAAGTTATTAAATGTGTTTGCGACTTGTTTTGGATCTGAACTTATCACATCATTTACTTTTAATTTTATATTGCGCTTTTCCTTTGCATTTGTTTTATTTGTTCTCTCATTTATTATATGCCACATAGTTTTGATTTTTTTATCTGAATGTTTTAATTTATTAATATATTGAATTTTTTAGCATTATTTATAGTTTTTTTAACGTTTTTGCATATTTTTTATAATGTAGTTTCAGTATTGGGTCATTCGTTTTTGTTGTAAGTATTTTAGCAATCTTTTATTTTTACACGATTTCCTTATTCCTACTGTTAAGTAACCAATATTTTTTTGGTTTTGATTTTATTTTGATTCGTCGTTTCGGAATGATTTGGTTCAATAAGGTTATTAGCTTATCGAGGAACATATCGTAATTTTCATTTATGTTTTTGTTCATTATTATTTCGTTCCAATATATTAATTGTAATTGTGTTTTAAACTGTGTTATTGCACTTTTGTTATAAATACTTATTTCCGT